TCCCTATCAACGATATATATTTTTGACAACAGAGATGCACCTAAACAAGAGCTGCATGTTTTTCTTTCAGAAACAGTTCAACAACGCTTAACAGCTGCTTCACTTGCGACTAAACTTTCTCTGAATCTACAGCAAAACAGGACAGAACAAGCGGCTCCAATAAATGGAGGAATAACAGCTGGTGTTATATTTAGTAGTACTTATGCTCACACTGACCTACAGGAAGATTTTACTGCAGCCAAAGGCACTTCCATCATTTATATAAGGAAAGCCAATAGGTGACATAAGAGTCCTTAGAATTATACATCTCTCCTACAGCTGCAAAAAGACTTTGGTTCAGTTTGAAGTCAGTGCATGCAGATCCTTCTTTACATCCTTTAAAGGTGGTGGATAATACTGATCCCCATCTGGATAGAAAAAAAATAAAAGGTTTCTTCCTCCCTTTCATTTAAAGTGCTGCAAATTTCTCCACATTTTCGTCACTTTACCATCACAACCTTCAACATGTAGTGGAGTATATCTAGATTCTGCCACATATCAAAAAATACAGCTCTAACTTCAGCTTTTTGGCTATGTCTCTACTAGATTTTAACATCTAGAGGCAATATCTTTTTTTTCAGTTCTTAAAGTCAGACGCCAGTTTCTCTATCAGATTAAGGTCTGGACTACTGTATCATTCTAACTCACTTTGATTTATACCCAAAGATGTAAGCTCTAGCTCTATGGTTTACATTGCTGTCCTGCTAGAAGATAAAACCATCTATCCGTTCATTATCTGACATGCTTGTGCCGAGTGGGGTCGGAGGGGTGCTGGTGCCTATCTCCAGCAGTCAATGGGCAAGAAGCGGGGTACACCCTGGACAGGTCGCCAGTCCATCGCAGGGTAACACAGAGACACACAGGACAAACAACCATTCACAAACATACTCACACCTAAGGACAATTTAGAGAAGCCAGTTAACCTAACAGTCATGTTTTTGGACTGTGGGAGGAAGCTGGAGTACGTGGAGAGAACCCACATAAGCTCAGGGAGAACATGAATACTCCATGCAGAAAGACCCTGAGCCGAGAATCGAACCCAGAACGTTCTTGCTGCAAGGCAGAAGAGGTACACACTGCGCAGCCCAGAAGATGAAACCTTGTTTCAGAAAAGTTTTTTTGTGGGTTTGACCTGGTGCTGGCTCCAACCTTACTGAATAAATGCACCCTCCACATGACTTATGGCCATTTTTTTCTGGAACGTTTTGATGGTTTTCATTCATATATATGTCCTGTTAATAGATGCTCCCACCTGAGCTATACATCTCTACATCTACTCCAGAGTTCCCATCTTGATTTATGTAATTCAGGAGGAGAGCCATGTCTTGATAAGAATCATTTTTCCATTTCTACATGATAGGCGAGTACTTATAGACTATCAAAGCTTGGAATATTATCTCATACCTTATAACATACCACACTATCAAGGGGGATGTTTTAATGAATAAAAAAAACTCCCTATTTTTTCTTTCACCTCAAAATGATGCACTATTTTGTGGTGAAATATCAAATAATGTAAAGTGAAGTTTGTGATTGTTAGGGAACAAAATGTGTAACAGAAGGGAAAAAGTACCTTATGCACTCTCAGTCTTCAAACATACAGCTTCATCCATGTTCGATATATGCTTCAGCTTTTCACTCATCTGCTTCCCTATTTTGTATCACATCTTAAATTTTGTAGATGTTTAAAGGGTCTTATTGAAATGAATGGGCAGAGACTCGCCAAATCGACCAGTTTAGCCACTAACTCTCCTCTGATGACACAATTAGACGGGTGTCATTAGGGCCAAGGGGCTGCACTCATAAGCAGTTTGCTGCTGATGAGATTCCTTCTCTAAATCACTTAATCTCATTTGTCCCATAACTGTTGCCTTCTTTCCATCTGTCTGTCTCCAGTGATCCCTGATCACATTATTATTTACTAGCAGAAATATTTTCATCACAGCCAGAATCACGTAAAGCCTCTAAAAATCCTTTATTCAAAATGGTTTCATATACAGGTGCTGGTCATAAAATTAGAATATCATGAAAAAGTAGATTGATTTCAGTAATTCCATTTAAAAAGTGAAACTTGTATATTATATTCATACATTACATAAAAACTCATATATTTCAGATGTTTATTTTGTTTAATTTTGATGATTACAAATGACAACAAATGAAAATCTCAAATTCATCATATCAGAAAATTAGAATATTGTGAAAAGGTTCAAAATTGATGGCCCCTGGTGCCACACTCTAATCAGCTAATTAACTCAAACCACCTGCAAAAGCCTTTAAATGGTCTTTCAGTCTAGTTCTATAGGCTACACAATCATGGGGAAGACTGCTGACTTGACAGTTGTCCAAAAGACGACCATCGACACCTTGCACAAGGAGGGCAAGACACAAAAGGTCATCGCTAAAGAGGCTGGCTGTTCACAGAGCTCAGTGTCCAAGCACATTAATAGAGAGGCGAAGGGAAGGAAAAGATGTGGTCGAAAAAAGTGTACAAGCAAGAGAGATAACCGCACCCTGGAGAGGATTGTGAAACAAAACCCATTCAAAAATGTGGGGGAGATTCACAAAGAGTGGACTGCAGCTGGAGTGAGTGCTTCAAGAACCACCACACACAGACGTATGAAAGACATGGGTTTCTGCTGTCGCATTCCTTGTGTCAAGCCACTCTTGAACCACAGACAGCGTCAGAAGCGTCTTGCCTGGGCTAAAGAGAAACAGGACTGGACTGCTGGTGAGTGGTCCAAAGCCATGTTCTCTGATGAAAGTAAATTTTGCATTTCCTTTGGAAATCAAGGTCCCAGAGTCTGGAGGAAAAGAAGAGAGGCACTTCATCCACGTTGCTTGAAGTCCAGTGTAAAGTTTCCACAGTCAGTGATGGTTTGGGGTGCCATGTCATCTGCTGGTGTTGGTCCATTGTGTTTTCTGAGGTCCAGGGTCAACGCAGCCACATACCAGGAAGTTTTAGAGCACTTCATGCTTCCTGCAGCTGACCAACTTTTTGGAGATGCAGATTTCATTTTCCAACAGGACTTGGCACCTGCACACAGTGCCAAAGCTACCAGTACCTGGTTGAAGGACCATGGTATCCCTGTTCTTAATTGGCCAGCAAACTCTCCTGACCTTAACCCCATAGAAAATCTATGGGGTATTGTGAAGAAGAAGATGCAATACACCAGACCCAACAATTCAGAAGAGCTAAAAGCCACTATTAGAGCAACCTGGGCTATCATAACACCTGAGCAGTGCCACAGACTGATCGACTCCATGCCACGCCGCATTGCTGCAGTAATACAGGCCAAAGGAGGCCCAACTAAATACTGAGTGCTGTACATGCTCATACTTTTCATGTTCATACTTTTCAGTTGGCCAACATTTCTATAAATCCTTTGTTTTTATTGGTCTTCAGTAATATTCTAATTTTCTGATATGATGAATTTGAGATTTTCATTTGTTGTCATTTGTAATCATCAAAATTAAACAAAATAAACATCTGAAATATATGAGTTTGTATGTAATGTATGAATATAATATACAAGTTTCACTTTTTAAATGGAATTACTGAAATCAATCTACTTTTTCATGATATTCTAATTTTATGACCAGCACCTGTATTTTCTGCGTCCTCTCAGTCAAGCTGTTATATGTGAGAATGAGCTCAACCGGAAATTGGGTATTATTTCAAAATAAAAGCCTCAACACTAGCCCATTTTCGTTTTTAAATATGTTGTGGAATGTTGTTAATTGCACCCATTGTTTTGCAGGTCGATATACAAATTGTGTTCTTTATTTTTTTAATACTTACAGTTAAAGATAAATAAGGTTCACTAGTTTTCACATGTTAGACCTTAATCTATCTGTAATAACAACATCAACAATGTTATTTGGCCGGCAGCAAGTCACAAACCTCGTTTCTTTATACTCATATGGACTCCTTGCTAATACTAGTTTATTTGGACTTTATGAAAAATAAACCTGTGTGTCTCTGTGTATGCTCTAGTTATTGTAACATTCATTTTACATTAAATGATACATATGAGACTTACTGTCAAAAAAAATAAATAACTGCAATAAAGCTTCACAGATGTTAAAAATTCAAATTTTTCCATATAGCATGTTTTAAATGCAGAAAGACAGGAAATATGGGGCAAGAATGTAAACATATCACCAGAATGATTGACGATTAGGAGGACCACTTATTTTGATGATCCACCAAGACAAAGAACATCCTCCACTATAGTTTTCACAAAGAAAAGTATATGCTTTAATTTTGTTGCAAAGCAAACCAGTAAAATGGCTTTTGTGTATTTAAAACTTCTGTCAATTTATTAGAAAATTCCTTTTTCTTTTTTAGTATTTCCATTATTATTATTGTTATGTAAGAAATAGAATATAAAGAAATTGTGAAATTAGTTAACATATATGTACCCAGCTGCTTCAAAATAATACTATATTTTGATGATATTTCAATAGTACGGAAGAGGATTAGGGCCACTGAAAAAAAAAAAAAGTTAACAAATTTTTACATTTTATTTCAGTTTAATGTGGGTAAAAAGTCAGAATTCTGAGATTAAAGTCAGAATTCTAAGATTAAAGTCAGAATTCTCAGATTAAAGTCAGAATTCTGAGAAAAAAGTCAGGATTTTGAGATTAAAGTCAGAATACTGAGATTAAAGTTAGAATTCTGAGAAAAAAAAGTCAGAAATCTTTGAAAAAAATTCAGATTTCTGAGATTAAAGTCAAAGTTCTGAGATTAAAGTTAGAATTCTGAGATTTAAACCAGAATTCTCAGATTAAAGTCAGAATTCTGAGAAAATACGACAGAATTCTGAGATTAAAGTCAGAATTGTGACTTTCCCCCCATACTAAACTGAAATAATATTCAAAAATCTGTTCTTTTTTCCGTACAGTAGCATTAAGCTGCTTTAGTTTGGTAACCTCTAACCGGAAGGGTTGTTTCCAGCTTGACAGTTGAAAGGCTGCCAAACAGAGGCTGACTGATGCTGCCCGCTGCGGTCTCCCTCACTGAGCGGTGGCCCTACTCAACTTCCACTCACCTCCTTCTCTGTCTGGCTCCACCGAACCGCACCGAACCCTACAAAACCAGATTTTTATTTAGTTATTTTTTTTATATACTGCTTGGTCTTTTTTAACCAGAGCATCCTTCTTGGGCATCCTAAAACAAGCGGGTCTGCGGGAGGAAAGCGTGGCTGAGCTGAAGAGATGCCTCACGGGCGGCTCGGTTCAGGGCATCCCGAGCACCGATCCGCGGAGAAATGCTGAAGCTCAGCGGCAGCTCGGTGGTCGCGGCGCTGCTTCTCTCGGTGGTCTGCGGCTCTTTTTTCTTCTGCGAGTATCTCATCTACTTCCCGACCATCCTGAAGTGCGCCTGGCCGCAGCTGAGCCATGCCCGGGGCGGGGAGGGCGCAGAGCCGGCGCTCCGCGCCATGGTGCTGTCAGACACCCATCTCCTCGGAGCTGTGGGGGGCCACTGGTTCGACAAGCTCAGGAGGTACCATCTCCATTTTATCCATCCCTTTAATTATCACTGATGTGAGCCACCGATCCACCGAATAACGTCGGGATTGTGTCCAAACGCAGGGAATGGCAGATGGAGAGGGCTTTCCAGACCGCGCTTTGGCTCCTAAAGCCTGAAATAGTCTTTATTCTCGGGGATATCTTCGACGAAGGCAAGTGGAGCTCCCAGAAGGTAACAGAGCTCCATGTTCAGCTCCGCAATACAGCACCACTGCTTAGGATTCAACTAAAGATGCTGTTAAAAATAAAAAATCTGTGAGAAAAGGATCAAACTAACACATAATGTGGACGATCTGCATCCAAACAAGAGGTTCTGTTACCGTTTGGGCCCACAGACTGCAGGGTCTCCTGCAAACATCTGCAGCCTGCATCCATCTCTGCACACTGGGATGGCTGTTTATTTAATTCAAACGGTAAAATAACAGGATGAACATCCTAATCCTTCAAGTTGGAGCAGAAAAAAACGAATGAAAAACATGCATTAAAGGCTGCATGGTGTGTTTACACTGGACCAGTATTTGATTGATCTTTAATTACAGTATGTCCTGACAAGCTGACTCTTCTTTAGTTTATATAGCACATAAATAACGAAAATTGAGTCTAAAATTTGCAACACAAGCTCTGAAAATAGTGAAAGCAGCTGAAGATTATTGCTTTATTGACCGTTTGATGTCTTTTTTTGTAGCATTTTTATCCATTCATCCATCTTAAGCATAAGAATTGCAGAAATATCTACAGTAAATTTAACAGAACTTTCAAAATAATACTTCTGCTTCACCAAAGTTCCCATAAAGCACAATCATGTCCATATTTAGCTTTTTAGAGAAGTATAAAAAAGCATATCTGTGCATGAAGTTTTTAAAGAAGAATCTGTTTTTTGTTTTACTAAAAAAATCAATTTAACTAGTGAATAAAACATGAACAAAATATTGTCACAACTATAAGAGATTCATAGCTGTAAGTTTTCAAACAAAGTATTCAAATTGATTTTGTTTACTTTTGGTAAACCTCAACTGAAAAATCAAAGCTTGATGGTTTAGAAACGTAAAGATCTTAATAGTTTACCACTTTTATGATTTATTTTATGCTCTTTCTAGAATTCTAGCCAGTAATCTAAACATGTATGAGATGTAAAACAGTATTTTTTCTCCTCTCCCTCATAAATCCCCTCATATGTTAATAGCTTCAGGTCTAATAGAAAAGCAGCGTCTCAGGTCCAATTAGAGCCTCATCATATAAAACTTAAACCTCTGATGTAATTAAGGGCCTGTTGTGGGGGGGGGGGGGGGGGGGGGGGGCTCAAAGCAGCCACCTCGACCTTCCTTGGGGATCTTATTAAGAATCTCTCAGGTGATTTTTTCTTCATATTAGAGCCCTGATCTAAATCCTCTTCCTCTCCTTTTCTGCAGCACTGGGAAGATGACGTGCGCCGCTTCCACAGGATGTTCAGACACTCCACTGACACAGAACTGGTCGTGCTGGTCGGCAATCACGACATTGGTTTCCATTATGAGTAAGCAAACAATGCCTCTAATTTCGCTGTGTTTCTTTTGTGAAGTAAAGCTGGTTGATCACCTTTTTGTGAATTAAAGACTGCACCGGTCAGAGCTTGCACTCCCTGACAACAGTGAAACACTCCTTGTTTGGTAGAAATATATTTGAAATGTCAGAAGCCTCAGAAAAAGTGTAGCATTTTTTTCTCTGCTGCAGAACTGGAAAAACGGAAGATAAGACAAGTTTGTCAACATTACATAAAGCTTTAAGGAATGTTTTAGGTGTGAGCTAATCAAGAACAGTTCTGTCAGATAATGCCTTGGGGTTAGGCACCTGAAGGAATGAGAACGCACAGGCTTTACACTGAACAGAATTCTGAACCGGTCTCCACGTTGGAGCCAGGCTTACGGGAATTAAAAAAGGCCTCCTGCTTTCCGAGCCAAAACTCGGAGGGGTCCGCAGAGAAGGACCAGAACCCAAGCTCCCTCGCACCCTAAGCCAATACCCTGAGGGCTTAGCGGAGAAAGGACGCGACATGACCAGGAGACAGGAGACAAACACTAACACCCTCTCAATCCACTGGCCTCCAAGAGTCAGTACATGAACCAGGAACAGACATGAACAGCTGACACGAATACATAACACAAATAAACAAAGAATAATTATCTGGCCCCAGTAGCTGGGCTGAGCCATCTATATAGCAGGGGCACCAGGTGAATACGATGGATGATAATTAGAGAGCGGGGAGGGAATGGCAGATGAATGAAGTGTGTAATCACATTAGCTACGGGGGTCCAATCATGACAATAGTGAAGGATTTTTGCAGATTTTTGAAAAAAAAAAAAAAACGTCCCTTTTTTTTTTTTTTTTTTTATCGCAGCCTGTACCTGCTCCCAAGAGGGAATGCTTATTAAACATGTGAGAGAGTATGCAGAGCCCATTTCTCCTCATGCACGCTCTGTTTAAAAGTTGCTGTTAGCATCACTCATACAAGCTTATTTTCCAAAAGAAGATTTGCCATTTTTCCACTATGTCACACTCACCACCGATAAGTGAAAATGGGGACAAACATGTAAACATATCACCAGAATGATTGACAGTTAGGAGGACCACTTATTTTGATGATCCACCCACAAAAAGAACATCCTCTTCTATACCTTTAATTCTCCCATCACCTCTCACCAACTTCCTTGTCCCTGCTAACAGAAGTGCTTCCCCACACCATGATGTTACCACCGCTATGCGTCATGATGGGGAGGGAAAATGCAGGGTGATGGCCGGTGTTGGTTTTCTGTTGCCGAAAGTGTTTTTAATAGAGGCAATAAAATTCATGTGATATTATTTTCCTGCTTTCTTTAAAGAAAATCTTTCTACTCCTAAAAAATATTGACTTTTATTGGGTGCTCTGTGTTGCTGAACGCTTAACTGAACTGGTGGGGCAGCACAGTTGCTAGAAGGCTCTGATCCTGCCTTCACTATGACTGCAGAGACCAATAAGGAGCTGCAGCTTAGCTGAAAAACGTCAGCATCTGTCTATGAAGACATGAGCTGCGGTTTCTTTTGGCAGCCATGCCAGGTATTAGTGGGCGGGGGGTGGTAAAAATATACAGGATCTATTATATAAGTGTTGAGAGAAACTTTTGCCAAATAGAATTAGAAAGTTTTTTATTTTTAGTTATTTTTTTTATTAAATTCTGTGCTTGAAAATGTATTTTACCAGAAAAACGAAAATCAAGTGCAATGAAATCAAAGGAAGAAATGTTAAAAAGTCTAAAGGAAATTTAATGTAATCCTCATTAACTGTAAATCAAAGCACATTCTTTGTTTTTATTAAGCTCAAATTGCGCAAGAGAAAATATTTTCTATTTGATGCTTTCAGTGACCAGATATGCGGTGGGAAATCTTAGTTTTGGTGCTGATTGTGGAAAAATCGTCCAGTTCTGACGTCTGTTTGGTTAATTTGCGATCAAATGTTTGTGTGCTGCATATAACTTAAATCTTTATTTGATTAGAATTAAAATCTTTATTTAACCTTTATTTGACTTAAATTGATATCTTTATTTAATCTGCAGTATCATAATCTGACATGTTAGCATATATAGTTCTCTGGTGTCGCCTACATTTGGCTAAACCTTAATTAAAAAGCTCTAGAAACAACAGTCAGTATTTTGCTGTTTATCTGTTGCCATTTTTTAAATAAATTTGCCAAATAAATATAATATAAAACAAATATTTACTTTATTTAGTGGTATATGTCAGAATCCAGCTATCGGAGCAGTTCTAGTTCATATTCATGTGGTTTTGATCATTTTAAAGCAGTATGGTTGTTTTTTATGCTTTCCTCTCCTTGCTGTTAATGTTTTACAAGAAGGGAAGTGCCAACTTATGCAGAAAATAATCTCGCAGATGAATTTTTGACGCATGTGCTTCCTAGATGTGGGATTATGTCGGCATGCGGCTGCTCTTAGACGCTTTGATTCCAATACGTGCAGCAGGGAGCGAAGCGCCACGGCTCTTATGTAACAGCCCATGAAAGGCTGACGTGACAGGCTTTAGCAGCAGGTTTCTAACACTCAGTTTATCTGTTGTCTTGTTGTGTCTCCCCTGCAGGATGGACTGGTTCAAGCTGCAGCGCTTTGAAAAGGTCTTCAACGCCTCCTCCACCAGGATTGTTACCAAAAAGGGAGTCAAGTGAGTGGCAGGAAGTAGAAACACACATGAAAAGCTGCAGGACAAACATGTGACTCAGCAGGCTGGAAGCCACTTTTAGCTCTTGAATCAACCTTTTTTTTATGACTAACCTGTCGATAAGCAATTGATAAGGCTCTCTGTGCAATGGATTTTTAGAGTTTTATTCTATTTTGAAAATTGAAAACAAAGTACTACTGCAGTCAAATATGTTTCAATCGGTAGTCGAGTTGTAAAAAAAAGTTTGGAAGTATACATAGCCTAATTAATGTATTCCATTAACCTAAAGCACTATGCATGGTATGGTTGTTACATGTCAGGTACACCGGCCATTTAACTTGACCAAGGCACCTCACAATAGAGCTGCAGTCAGTCCCTGGACTGGCATGGCTATCACTGCTCCTACATAGATAGGGACTCATTTCCCACTGTAATCAGCTTCATAGTCATGGTAGGACACTTCTTTGATTTTACTTTGTAGAGTCTTTTGGCAATTAATCTATTAAGATTTAGAAAGAAAACCTCATAAAACACTGCGAATGAATATCTGAATCTTTTCAAGTCAAGTGTTTTTTATTCAAGTTCAATTAATTAAATTGAAACAGCTGAAATAATTTCCAAAATCTAAAAAAAACTACTAACAAATTCAAATACATAACAATCAACCTGATAATGAAATAAGCCTGTATAAAATATAATAATTTTACTCACCTTTCAAATATTCATTTAGAGTATTTATTTTATAAAATAGACTGTTTATAAGAAAATCAGTTTTGCTTCTGTTGGATAATTTAAAGTAAACTAGACTACATGCTGGTAATGAATGAGTTAAAACTATGCTAACAGGTCCATCGAAGTGAAGCTATTTACCATTGATTGGACGACAGTTATCTAGGTTAGGACAGCCAATAGCGGCCTTTCTTGCTGGGAAGTTGGCAACACTGGTGAAGGGATGAGAGGAGCGGAGAGGAGAAGTTTTTGAAGAAAAATTCAAAATTTCAACATAAAAAATTTAAATATATGAAAAAACTTATAATTAAACTGAAATGGGTCCTTAGAGTTCAGAAAGTTGTTATTCTCCGCACATCCCATACTGCTGAGTTCTTTTCTATATTGGGGCATTTTGAAACAACTTTGTCAAGAAGAGCCAGCACCATTGCAGCCATGCAAAAGTCTGCAGGCAACTGTAAGAAAAGCTCAGTGACAGCACTAGGGGGATATTTAATTTTGACTAGTTCAAAGTAACTAACTAATATCTTGATTATAATTCCAGATGTGTAAGGCACAGGACAAAAATCTAACTCAGAACTGGAAACACGTTGGTGGGAGTCTCATGGTTTGCAAGTGAAATTTAAAACAAAAGTAGTGCACTGGGTTCAGAAGTGCATTGTCCAATAGGGATGCTGATTAGCATGAGTCCCTCTGTCTTTCATCACCTGCGGTTGGTTGAGGGGACATGCTTGGACAGAGCTGGCCTTAGATAAAGGATTTTCCTGTGCTGAGGTTGATCATGTACCTGTAGGAAGTTGAAAAAAAATTTCATTTTCCAGGTTGAGACACGGTGCATGATGAAAACAAAAGATTTCAGCATTAAGTGGCAGTTCCTTCAAAAATATTACCACAGTTTTAAAAAGTGAAGCATTTAGAGACGATAACCAGACAGATGGAAATGTTAAAGCTGTCACCCTCATCAGTACCAGCCTCATCCTGGGCTGTTATCAGCACCTGCTTCTTTCCACGGGTAAATCCTGACTCACCTATAAAGGGTGAACAGATCAGATGGTGAAGAAGGACCAAATCTTTACCTAGTTGTTGCTTTAAAGAGAAAAGAAATAGTTGTCCTCTGCCCTCTGTGTGTTTTTTAGCTTGGAATCTCTGCCCGGTTCATGTATCGCCTGTGCTGCAGAGGTGCCCCTGTGGTTTTGCTGCATAGGTGCATTTTGCAGCGTGATTCCTTTCAAAGATGCAGACCTTGCTGAGTTTTCCCAGCATTGTCCCGTTCCCTGCAGACTGTATCACATGCCTTGAGGAATAGACACACCTCTGTAGGGTTAAGGTTACTATATGCAACTCTTATGGTGCAATTTCTAGTTTGTTTTTAGCTTTTAACCAATAGGTTAAAAACGATTTCCTTTAAGCTTTTCATATTGAAATGAATAGATCAAAATTACTTGCATTAAAAAGTTGCTAAGGATTGAGTTATAATGTTTTAGGTGGAGCTGTTGCTGCTGCAGATTTGATCAATATGTTCACAGAAATGCACCAGAGCAGCGTGCAAATGATGTGTCAGTGTGAAAAGGGGTCATTTATTGTGGCATCTATTCAGAGGATCATTATCATCCACTGTTCTGTTCGTCTGCAGCTTTTTCATTGAAGGGTTTTCCAGGTCTGGTTAAAAATGTATAAGAAAAAAGTATTTCTGCATTCAAACATTTTTAAATATCCAACGGTCTGAATCTTGCTTTATTAAAACAATCCGTCCATCATTTTTAGGAACCTAGACTTTTAAAATCTATTTAAGAAAACAGTTTCCTCTAAAGCCTAAAAAACCTAAACTGCAGATCAATGCAGAATAAAACCTTTGTGCTGCTGTGTTGCCGCCTGTCTGCAGCTTCCTGCTGGTGAACAGCGTGGCCCTGCACGGTGACGGCTGTCCCATCTGCCAGTCAGTGGAAAAAGACCTGATCAAACTCTCCAAGGACCTCAACTGCTCGCTTCAGGTGAGAGCAAATTCCTGAGAGCCACATATCTCACAGCATCAGCAATCTGCTCACTCTTTGCTGCTGGCACTCAAGAAGTGTGAATAGAAGATAATAATCCTGCAGTACTTTCAGTCCATGAAGCAGACGGGGTGTTTTGTTCTTTTCCTACAGTTTTTACAGTAAATGGCATCATTTTACAGGGTTGGAACAATTAGAGGTAAAAGTGATGACGAACACTAAGGGCATGATCTTCAGAAGGTTCCCACGTCTTAAAACAGATGCAAACGTGTTTGTAGGTTCAGAGCAGATCTTTAAGGAAGGAGCAAAGTGATTTTTGTTTCCATTTCAGCAGACAGTACGCTATTTTTTTTTCTTTTACTTTTGTATAGAGCTCTTTGTTTAAAGAGATACAAGCTGCACTATAATTATTATTATTAGCGTACTGACCCGAATATAGGATATACCCTGATTATAAGATGACCACTTTCCAGGACCAGTTTTTAGGAACAAAAAAAAAAGACCAAAGAAAAAAAAGACTGATAAGGAACATTTATTTTGTTTAAAGAAACTATTTTTTTTATTGAGAAACACTGCGACTCGAATGAAATTGGAACTATGCTCACAGAATGTCTCAAAAACCTGCAGGAGGCTTTTACTCTCAGAAGTCCTCTGCCTCGCTGCACACGCTGTCACTCCTACTCTCACCCTGCAACTCTGATAGTTTTTGATAAGCTTTTCTTTTGCTGTTTGCATTTTTCCAACCTTTTTGAACGTGCCATATTGTGAAATTGCACTCTGTAATTCCGTATCTCTTTGCTGCCTGACAGCTTTTTGATGCCTCCACTGCGTTGACCACCTTAATTTTAAAATTGGCGTCAAAAGTCTGCCTCAAATGTCAACATTGTCTGACTTTTGATCCACTCCGTTGTCGGCAGCGACTCTCCATTTGTAGCATTCTTGTCACTTCTTCTCTGTTGTGATAGAAAGACGACCCCAGCCACAGTTTTTCATCACCATGAGGTCACTGGCTTTACAAAAAAATGGTGCCCTCTGCTGCTGTGTTTGACAACTGTCAGCCTGTATAATTGGTTAGTCCCCAATTATAAGATGACCCCACATTTTCACATCGTTTTTAACGCAAAAAAAAAAAAACTTGTCTTATTTTCGGGCCAATATGGTACTTTCTTTATAATTATCAGTACTACCTCTAGGCTGTGAACCTCATCTTTCTTTTACAGCCACTCTCAAACTGCCAGTAGAACACCCAATCTGCTCATTTTACTTGATGCAACCAAACCAGTTTGCACGTCTTAACATTTGTGCAGCAATCTTTGCAGATCCCCAAAACACTTCCACTTATTGCATGGAGTATAAAAAAAATTACATGTGCAATTTAGTGCCTGTTATTTAGAGTCTGTGAAGATCAGACCTGTTGAGTACAAACCAACTTCTGAATGTCTATCTTGTGCAGAAGTCGCAGTCTGACAGCAAAGAGACAGAGAAATGTGAGGGCTCACAGACGTATCCCCCCACCGCCCCCATCATGCTGCAGGTAAGCTGGGCTATTCTCTAAACCTGCCGCATGCTGAGTTTTGATTTTATTCATTCACAGCGAGGAGATTTAAATTATAAATATATCTGGTAAAATAAAAGAAGCTTATGAAATATTTTTCTTTCTTGCATTTCATTGTAATTTATGTGAATATTGTGTGGCTAAAGCAGAGGAGACCATAGATGCATGAATCTATTTATTGTAGAGTGGCTGGTAGAACACCTGTTTTTAATACAAGATGTTTAAGCATCCTGTTTAAAGTTTGCCACAGGCCTCTCAGAGGGTACGGCAGACATTTAGAAGATAATCTGATTACATGAGAGCAAAAGTTAACATTTTATAGGTCCAGATTGTGGAGAAATGATTAATATGGTGAAACATGGTGGTGGCAGCATTATGCTGAGGGAATTATTTTTCTATACCGGGGGTCGGTCAAGGCAGATTCATATCTGCAACTCTGAATTGATCTAGCCAAAAGTCGGGAAATCTGAGTGTTTGGTTTCACAACAGCTGCTATCAATCAATTTAATAAATTTTAACTAAGTCCACTCAGAGTTAAACGTGCGCAAAAAGTTTGAAAAGCAATTTTCAGTTGAGCACCGATTTGATGAGTCACCATGACAACAGGCAATAGGAAGTGCCTATTTAATTTAAGAAAGTAAAAAGAATTATACTAGTAAGAATTAAGTTTCAGGATTTTTAATTACTTGTATAATATATTATATAGAGGTTAGGCAAGTTAGGCATTTTTACTCAGAAGCTTTGTAGAAGAACTTGCTAACTTTCCTGTAGTATTAAATTAAACATTTCAGCAGGTTTAGGAACAAAGATTATTTTTTGTTTTTGTTTGGGGCTGCGCAGTGGGTAGCACTGCTGCTTTGCAGCAAGAAGGTTCTGGGTTCGATTCCTGGCCTGGGGTCTTTCTGCATCGAGTTTGCATGTTCTCTCTGAGCATGGCTGGGTTCTCTCCGGGTACTCCGGCTTCCTCCCACAGTCCAAAAACACGCCTGTTAGGTCAATTGGCTTCTCTAAATTCTCCTTAGATCTGAGTGGTTGTTTGTCTCTGTGTCGCCCAGTGATGGACTGGCGACCTGTCCAGGGTGTACCCTGCATCTCGCCCGGAGACAGCACCCCTCGCAACCCCACTTAGGGATAAGCGTGTTAGAAGATGGATGGATGGATGGATGTTTTTTCAGTTCAGGATTTAGCATAAACAGAACAAAAAGGGAGAACTAGGCCTAATAAAAACAACTGAACAAACGTTACGCCTTAAAAAAATAACACCACAGACTGATGAAAACGAACAAGGCAAGAAGAAATGAAATTAAAGTACTTGTATAATAATGTATGTCCAATTAAAACATTTTTACCACTCTTGGTCAGAAGCCTAAACCTGACAGTATCCTTTTTAGATAGAAAGAGTGGATTTAATATATATTTCATTAATTAAACATATTTGTATTTTTTAAATGTGTAATGTTATTCAATTGTTTGAAATAATCTCATTTATGTTAGTGAAATCAAACATTTTACTGGACACCCAGAGGCCAGCTGCTAAAACTAAATCCTAGCCGCTCTGTAACAGGTGAGCTAAGTTTAAATAGACAAGGTCTCGTCTGCGATTGGAGGAGCCAGATATGAATGGTCCAATCATGTTTCAGAGATGTCTACAAATCAGGCTGCAACGCTTTCAAAGCTGGAGAGGAACTTTGTGTCCACTTCCTCTTATCAATCAAATGCTGCGAGATTATTTAGAGGGCATCTGTGAACATAATTGTCACATATTCCCAATTGAATTTCTGGACTTTAGCTGGACCTTTCTAACATACCCAGATGCCTTGCTCTCAACCTTCAGGCTGTTGCACTGTGCAGCCTCTAGCATACTGTAGTTGTTCTCAACCCCGTTCCTCAGGGACCTCATGTCAAACAAACAAAAAAAACCGGATGATTAACAGGTTTCTGCAGCACTTGATTGTAGAGGAGAAGCTCTAATCTGAATCAGGTGTGCTGGAACAGACATATCTAAAACATGCACTGCAGGGGTCCCTGAGGACCCGGGTTGGGAACCGCTGCTCTAGCAGTTGTTTTTTTCAACCGTTGTCCTGCACTGAGCTCTATCCATCTTCTCATCAGCTCTAACCAGCTTCTCTGTTTCTGCTGGAGAAAAGCATTCCCACAGCATGACGCTGTCACCACCATGTATCTTCCCTGAGAAGGTTTCTCAAAGGGATTGTCACGTTTCTTCTTTGCATAAAATGTAAACTTTGGTCTTCTTCCACCTGTTTGTTGAATCCTCCACGTAGCTTTTCATCCATGAAGACCAGCTCTATTGAGCGCACTATCGGTGCTACAGGTTTCCCCATCTTTAGATTCTCCTACCTGAGTGGTGGATTTCTGCAGAATCGGTTAGGGTTATGAGATAGAAGGGCCAGGTGTCTTCTCTCTTGTTCCGACATTTAACATACAGATGTTTAACATCTGCTTGCTGTTTTGGTCCTCCAGCATTACCCTCTGTACAGAGTGAGTGACGCCAGCTGCACTGGGGAGGATGCAGCACCGCCGGAGGAGCGACACCTGCTGTTCAGAGAGAAGTATGACGTGCTGTCCAAAGAGGCTTCTCAGCGGGTGAGTCTCCCTTTCATCCAGATAAATGCAGTTCAGCAGTATTAGAGTTGAGGAGCAGACGCAGAGCATGATGAAAGTGAGGAGTAAGGAGAGCAGGAAGCAGCTTCTCAAGGGGTTTTGGCCTTTTTTTCTTCTCCCTTTCTTCTTTAGCTTCTGCAGTGGTTTAAGCCCCGGCTCATCCTGAGCGGACACACCCACAGCGGATGTGAGGTTCTCCATGACAACAAGTACCCAGAAATCAGCGTGCCGTCTTTCAGCTGGAGGAACAGGAATAACCCCAGCTTCATCCTGGTGAGTGGGAGAACAGAAAGCCTCTGCAGGATTACTCACATCATACGTATTTTTTTTCCTAACTTAACAGCTTCTAAGTCTAAATATGGCATTGCGTACTAAACTTTTGTAAAACTGTATTAAAAGAAGAAAAAAAATCCAATGTCTACTGCTTCATTCTTCTATGGCAGATTTTTTTCACCAACCACTGAAGGGATATTGCTAGAAGTGAAAGGAAATGCTACATGGATGTGAAATGTTCAACAAGTAGAAATCTGACATTTACTGCATGCATTTGTATCCAGCCTGTCTGCTTCAATCAATACTTTGTAGAGGCAACTCCTGCTGTGGCATCTACTACCTTCCAACATCTAGAGAGTAAATTGCCGACCACTCCTGTGTGAAACACCTCTAGCACAGTCAGATTGGATGGAGAGCATCAGCAGACATTAATTTTTAAGTTTTGCCATGGATGCTTAACTGGATTTAGATGTGAACTTTGACTGGGCCATTCTAACTCATGAAATGTGCTTGATCTGAACCATTCCATTGTACCTGTGGCTGTATGTTTAGGGTCGTCGTGCTGCTGGACGGTGAGCCCTTCGCCCCAGTCTTTTCCAGCCTCTATCCAAGTTTCTTCCAGGAATGTCCTGTATTTAGTTCCATCCATCTTCCCATCAGCTCTGCCCAGCTTTCCTGTCCCCGCAGAAGAAAAGCTTCCTCACAGCATGATGCTGCCACCACCATGTTTTACGGTGTGAATGCTGTTTGTGATCTATACATTTGTTCATGCATCCATCCATTCATCCATCCATCCATCCATGGTTTTTCCAGGCTCTATATTTACAGACTGATTGCTGTAGAAATACTTGCAAAAAATAAAATCTATGCAAACCTTTTTTATCACATTTTTACTCAAAAAATTATCTAAATACAGAATAAAAATAGAAATGTATGCTTTTATAAGAAGAGCAGGTAGAGACTGATAAACAAGCAGCTATGCTGTGAAAACAAACATGAAAAACCTACAGTATGTGATCGGCTCAGCTTACAACTGAAAGAAGCTTAAAAGTCCAACAACACAGATATATGGTTTAGAGGTTAGGTTTTTAGAAAAACATCAACATGAGGAGTGGCGTTACAAATGTCTTAAATAATTATAATTTTTTTGTTCTTTTGGTATTTAATTTTCTCTCAGGCTACTGTAAGTATTTAGGAATTTCTTTTTTCTTTTATTATAAGATTCTAATGTTTTTGTTTGTGTGTGTATCTGTATTTTTAAATTAAGATTTTTGGACTAGATTTTTATTCAATCTGATTTTGTAAAACGTTGTTTATGCTTTTTTTCTGAATTTTGCTTGTGACTTTTATTTATTTGTTGCATTTCTGTTTCATTCTGTAACATGTATGTAGGACATAAATCTTATAATTTACTCAGCTTAATTGGCTTTCTCAACTGTTGGCTACATAAAAATTCCACATTTATTTGCTCCCGGATGTCCTCTAGTCGTTACTGTGAACCGCATCCAGGCTGTTCACATGATGACCGCCCCATCTCTTACATCTCTCCTCCTTTCCACAGGCGTCGGTGTCCTCAAGCGGTTATTCCCTCTCCAAATGTTTCCTGCCGGAGGAGAGCACGGTGATCGGGGTCTACTGCTCGGCCGGCGCCTGCCTGCTGCTGCTCATCCTGGCTCACTGCCTGTGGATGAAGGGGCTGCTGCAGCTTAGCCTCTGCCTGCTGGGGAAGCACAAGTCTCTGTAAACCACGTCACCCAGAGTGCAACTTGTCTGTTAGTGGAGCTGATCTCTGACTGGGCTGTGGATCTGTCCACACATCCTCAGTTGGATTGTTGCAGTGAACACAAAGCTGTAAATATATTTAAAATGTGTAAATCAGTGCTGGCATTGATGATGAAGGTGATGATGATGTTATTTGAAATTGAGATATTTATGGACAGGATGTCTTGGTAAAAGCTGCTCCCTCTGCATTGGGTTGTTGGGGTTAAAGGAGAGGTGTAAATATTTTGGTGGTGAGTTAAAGGTGCTTTCTGTGAAACAAGTCATTTCTTAAACTTTGTTTTTTTTTTTTATCTTTCCTCGATGTCCATCTGTCTCAGCTGCTCATTGTTTTTCAAATCTATACCAAGTTATATTATTTAATTCACGACTCTTTGTGCCAAATTGTTGACCGTTTACAATGAGATGTTCTTAATAAAGAGTTTTCTGGTGAAAAAAAATGTTCAACAAGCAACTGAACAAAATATAGTTCTTTCTGATACAAATCAACCTAAAATAAACAACCAATGAATTAGTTGGAAATGGTTCACCCAAACCATCTACAATAACCTTTTTATTCAGATTTTTTCCCGCAGGGTTTTATTTTTTCATTTCTGAGGTCCTTTAATACACAATAAATTGGTTTTCTATTTTTCTATTATTGGTTCATTTTAACCCAATAAAACCTGCAGCATTATGATCTACCTTTGTGTTGGGTAACTAGCTGCAGCGATTTCTACTTATTAGGGAATCCAGCTTTTTTTAATAAACTGCCTTACTATGTAAGACAACAGGACCCCTAAATGTGGAAAGAGTTGAATAAATAATTAGAAATTAAATATCCCTTTATAAATAGTTAAGAATCGACCCAAAATCGGGTAAAGCAAAGCTGCAAATCCTCACATTTTACAAGCTGTTTGGCTGATAGTCTCACAAGAAAACAACATATTTTTTATCTTTCAAGTTAATTTAACACTGAATGAGATGTTTGTTTCTTTTAAGTCTGTTTATTATGGGATACAGCTAAGAAAACTGAATTTATGACATAACATGAGACTAAGAAGAATAGGCTTTTTAATATGCTGTGGTCTTCATGAGCATGGGGAAGACTTCTGTCTTCATAGTTGTCCAACATAAAGTTGAAAGTTAAGTGGAAGGAAAAATGGTAGGAAACAGCCTTGGAGAATTCTGAAGCAAATCCCTGTAAATCTTGTCACTGCTGAAGCTCCAACAAGAGAAACAATCAACACCTTGTAAATGTCCCCTAAACACAAAGGTTTAGGTGCCTTCTGTGCACCTGCTTCAATCCCATTTTTTCCTTCCACTTAACTTTTTGGGAATATGCTGCAATGCAGCACGCTAATCAACCATCTATATCTAAAGTGACCTGTTTGTAGCTAAATCCATGTAGATGGAGTCAATGACCATCTTTTGAACATTTCCAAGACAAAATTGTTCTGAATCACTTCATTTCTTAATAAAAAAAAACAACTTGTTGATGCCTGCAACATATTAAAAGGCTCATGGACTTGGAAAATTCTGCATACTAATATAAAATTGTGTATTTCAGTTGTTTGGTGTCCAGGACGCCGGTTTGTTTAACACCTTTTCACCTAATTTTATATTAGTACTGATTAACTTCTTCTATCCTGCATACATTGCAGCTCCTGCAATATATAAAAAAATGGGATTAATCGATTTCACTGATTTTAGCTAAGACTAAGAGACTCAAGGGGCCTCTTTTAGTTAATTCCTCTTAATTTGTACTGCAAAAAAAAACAAAAAAAAAACAAGACAGCAATGTTAAAACATGAAGGGTTTCTGATTGCTTAATGAAATGTCTCCAGCTGTTTCAACAGTTAAGTCCCTTTTAATACCTGTTTATTGTTTATTGTTTATTTATTTGGATCCCCATTAGCTGTCAGTAATTTGACAGCTACTCTTCCTGGGGTCCCTTTAAAATTATACAGATACACATAACATAACACATAACACATAACCTGTCAAAATTCTTTTGCATTAAAGTGCCAGTCAAATACAAATCCACCATAGAAAGGTGACATTTATTAGAAATTAGGCAAATTATCAGCCATTATAATTATATTTTACATTTTTATAAATCAAGTTATTTTTGTTTTTAATTTACTGTAACTTAAATGATTTCCACAGCAATACTTTGTTTGCAGGGCCCTCCAAATATTAGCATATTGGTAAAGATGTGTAAAAAACAATACAACCCCTAAAAAAAATCCTTAAACCTTATGGATTTCTAACCATTACTAATTCTATGTGTGGACACATTTGTTGGTACACCTGGTTAAATACAATAAAAAACCCCAATAGACAGAAATAGCTTGTCACTTGTTCATGCTTGGCTGAAAAGGCCTGGGAAAAAAATATGGTATCTGAAAATAATGTGACCAAAGGTTCCTGTTAAATCAAGGTGTGTCCAGTAATTAGCTTCGCAGCTTTCTACAATCTATTAAAGAGCCAGGGGACCTATATATAGGGCTACAGTTCACCGGGCTGTTTGGTGACATGGTGTGTACCACACTCAACACGAACCAGAGGAAGTGAAGGAAAGAGTTGTCCAGGAGATTTAAATAAATTAGAGACAAACATGTTAAAGCCAAAGTCTATAAGTGCATCTCCAAGCAGCTCGATGTTCCAGTGACTACAGCTGCACATATCATTCAGAAATGTAGGATCCATAGGACTATTGCGAGTCAGATTGTACCTTCCGTCATTGTTTGAGCCAGAGTGGACTTAATGTTAATGTGGATTAATGTTAGATGGCCAAATAAGACACCATTGCTGAAAACATGTCATTAAAAATCCAGACTGGAATTTGCCAAACTACATGTTGACAAGCAACAAGGCTTCTGGGGGAATGTCCCATGGACAGATGAGACAAAGATTGAACTTTTTGCCAAGGTACATCAGCTCTATGTTCACAGGTATTATTTCTGTGACCACAGAGGTTTTATCTTCAATTAAACAAGGGCTACCAACAATTTTTATCAATGTGTTGCACTCAAAAGATCAAAGTTTATTTCAATGCAAATGCTTTGGCTACATTTAATTTACACAAATCCCACAAATTAGAACAACTCTGGTATTAAAATAACTTCATCTTAGGTGCTTACCCCCCCATAGATGTACATGTTTATCAAACTGGAATTTTCCATTTTGGAATGAAATGATGCAGTAAAGAACACAACCGGGTGTATTTCAAGGCCCAAGGATCCGTCTGACTTTATTTCGATGGTAGAAAACCTACATCCCTTGATGGAAATTTCCTTTTCCTTGAACTGATATCCAATTCTGAAGCAGCTTGATTGCTTTTGTGATTCTGTTGGATTTTAAGAGCTTGTCCTTGGCAGAAGTAGCCAAAAAAAAGGCCCTTCCAACTATATATATATATATACACTCACCGGCTACTTTATTAGGTACCCCTTATGCTAGTAACGGGTTGGACCCCCTTTCGCCTTCAGAACTGCCTCAATTCTTCGTGGCATAGATTCAACAAGGTGCTGGAAGCATTCCTCAGGGAGTTTGGTCCATATTGACATGATGGCATCACACAGTTGCCGCAGATTTGTCGGCTGCACATCCATGATGCTAATCTCCCGTTCCACCACATCCCAAAGATGCTCTATTGGATTGAGATCTGGTGACTGTGGAGGCCATTTGAGTACAGTGAACTCATTGTCATGTTCAAGAAACCAGTCTGAGATGATTCCAGCTTTATGACATGGCGCATTATCCTGCTGAAAGTAGCCATCAGAAGTTGGGTACATTGTGGTCATAAATGGATGGACATGGTCAGCAACAATACTCAGGTAGGCTGTGGCGTTGCAATGATGCTCAATTGGTACCAAGGGGCCCAAAGAGTGCCAAGAAAATATTCCCCACACCATGACACCACCACCACCAGCCTGAACCGTTGATACAAGGCAGGATGGATCCATGCTTTCATATTGTAGACGCCAAATTCTGACCCTACCATCCGAATGTCGCAGCAGAAATCGAGCCTCATCAGACCCGGCAACGTTTTTCCAATCTTCTATTGTCCAATTTCGATGAGCTTGTGCAAATTGTAGCCTCAGTTTCCTGTTCTTAGCTGAAAGGAGTGGCACCCGGTGTGGTCTTCTGCTGCTGTAGCCCATCTGCCTCAAAGTTCGACGTACTGTGCGTTCAGAGATGCTCTTCTGCCCACCTTGGTTGTAACGGGTGGTTATTTGAGTCACTGTTGCCCTTCTATCAGCTCGAACCAGTCTGGCCATTCTCCTCTGACCTCTGGCATCAACAAGGCATTTCCGCCCACAGAACTGCCGCTCACTGGATGTTTTTTCTTTTTCAGACCATTCTCTGTAAACCCTAGAGATGTTTGTGCGTGAAAATCCCAGTAGATCAGAAGTTTCTGAAATACTCAGACCAACCCTTCTGGCACCAACAATCATGCCACGTTCAAAGTCACTCAAATCACCTTTCTTCCCCATACTGATGCTCGGTTTGAACTGCAGGAGATTATCTTGACCATGTCTACATACCTAAATGCACTGAGTTGCCGCCATGTGATTGGCTGCTTAGAAATTAAGTGTTAACGAGCAGTTGGACAGGTATACCTAATAAAGTGGCCGGTGAGTGTATATAGTAGGTAAGACATTGACCTAATATTTAATAAGTTATTTGGCTCTTTTAGATGTCTATGTTTAAACAGTAACTATTCTTCTATCCAGCCATCATCTCCACCCACTTGTCCTTCCAGTGTCTCCAGGGCTCAACAGGTTAGGAAAACATTTCCTTGATGAAATACATGCCAGAATAGTTGTGGATCTCGTGGGATCTCTGGTACCTACCTGCAGACAATATGCTAGAGTCCAGAGAAGTAGAGAATAGACTGATAGTGGGTTGTGTTTCAGTTAATACTTTCATGAAAACCTGAATGAGTGGAGGGTGAATCCAATCTATGGCCTGAGGTCTCAGCACTTGTGGTTCCCAGTATATCCAAAATCTGACAGCTACGTACAACCTTACGCTTAAGATTTGATGCAGATGGACCAAAGAGTGATGCTGAACCTACATACAATGAAAACATTTTGCTTTGCATTTCTTTTACCCTGATTTACTTTTAAAAGAAGCATGAATTTCTGGAAGTGCAATTATTTTTGTTCTCCAGGCTCCATTTTGATCACCAATTCAGACCCAGAATATGTTGCAGGTAGATCATTGTTCTCACAGCCATTCAAGCTATTTTGGCTGCATGACTAAAGCAAAAAAGGATTTAAAAAAAATTTAATTGTCATCTAATTTCTTTAAATTAGCTTGTAGAGAACTGCACCAGAATCTGATGCAATCTCCTTAATTTGATAGTTCACATTTATGAAACTGACTCACTTCCCTGTGTGAAGTTTCATATTAGGACTATAGAGACTCATTTCATGTTTGTCCACTAGATGGCGACACTTTTTACCAATTCAAATCAGGCAGGTTATTGTTAGTTATGGTGGTAAAGTGAAATAAATAGGTTTCATTATGCAAAAGTTTTTTCAACACTTAATTTGTTTAAAGGGAAAGTATCTTTTCCCAATACTTTCAGGGATTGTTAAATTTGAATCATACTTATTTTTCATAGTGATGTTTTTAAAAGACTAAACATTTTAAAGTGTAAAAACTAACTTTCTCCCATTTTTGTGTATCTTAGGATTCCAAAATGTATCTTTAGGAGTAACAGATCTGCTGCTAATTGCTTACCAAGAATAGTTTTATATTAGTGTTGCCTTTATATGAGAGATTGGTAGTTTCCACACCAGCCATGTGTTTCACTACCAGAATCATTCTCAAAGAGCAATATTTGTCTTTCTTGTAATCAAAGGTAATGAGCAAGAGTAATAGTCCTCTTTCAGCCAGCTGACCAGCAGCTTGTAGGGGGAAGGGGCAGTGACTTTTAACCATAGGAACATTTTAATGTTCAGGATTGGCAGCATCATACTATGAGAATGCTCTTCAGACATGATCAAAACATATAAACATAAATCTAATGCTTCTCAAAACTGCATCGTAAAAACGAAAACAATATAACCATAATTTGTTTTCGATAGAAATCCTGTAGTGGCTGAACCTGTCTGCTCTCAGCCAAATCTTTGCCAAGGAAAAAATAAAATAAAACAAAAACGGACACAACTGGACAACAGGATGGAAATAAAGCAAAGTCCTCTAATGTGCCTCTTTATTTAAAGAAAATAAAAACGTCATTTAAATCATCCTCCCAAGGCCCAAACAAGGCTTTTTCGCACCTCCAGTCAGTTCACTCTCTTTCGGGGATAGACGTGTACTGTATCAGAAGAAAAAAAGGCTGATGCTGTTTGTACAAGGAAAAGAGCTCGTCTTGTTGGGTGCTGCTCACACATTCATAGTGCCTGTGCCATTAAAGTATGGCTCCAAAGGACCAAAGAATTACTAATATTGCACGCTCTCATTTATTCATCTCCATCCTAAACATGCTTTCCTATGTGTGTATGTATACATATTTACCGTATACATACATAGGTATGTACACCTAGGCACACACATAATTAAACATGTATAATTGTACATATATATTTATATAGACCTATAAATTTACATGTACATACATTTATAAAATTTTACACGCACGACACGCACTCGCCCTCGCATACGCACACGATGCGTCTGTGAGTCTATGTTTGTCTTATGTACACATGCGCACAGGCACGCACATCAAAACAGATCTCACACACTTCATCTGAAAAAAAAAGGAAATTTGATTTTAAAAAAAATTAAACAAAAGAAACAGAAAAGTAAGTTGGTTCCTATTAAAACAACACCAGGTCGCAATTTGGACACTTTCAATGGATTTTCCAATATTTCTTTAAAGCTGTGAAATTCAAAAAATATATATATTTATATATTTATATAAGGAGAAAAAAAAAAGAAAACTAAAACAACATAAAAGAAAAACAAAACAAAAAAAAAGGCATGGCGCTGCAACATCTGGTCTTCACTGCAGGTAAGTGGTTAATTTGCATAATGTATACAGGTTTTCAGGATTTTTTTTGTCCCTATTTTTTCTCCCCCTCCCCCCATTTTTTTTTACTAAACAGCATTTCCTTTCTTTTTATAAACCAGAAAAACTAAACTCTACAGAGAAAGTCCCCTACCTGCAGTCTCTTCGCTGCCGATAGAGTTTTTGACATCAAGCTGTACAGCGCAGTCGAAAACATACTTACATCTGAGCTCATTTACAGGTACAGCCATAATCAAGGCACAAAGATCTACAAGTAGATTTGTTTTTCTTTCAATTAAGTTGTACAAAATAATATTACATTTTACAGTCTGTACAGGATAATTCAACCTTGCACAGTGTACAAGTTAACAAAAAAAAAACAACAAATACATTTTTGTTTCCCCTCCCGCCCTCCTCCCGTTCAGTATCTCTAAGCTAGAAAGGGTGGAAAAAAACAAAACAAAAAAACTAAAACAAGAGAAGGACGCCGGTTTGAGTCCGTGGAGGCAGCAGGGCTAAGGTGCAGAGAGCTCAGTCGCTATCGCTTTATTTCCTGCCTCCGTTTCCCCCCCATTTATCTCATCTCTCGCTCCACATGTCTCTCGGCTGCTTTGTCCCGCCCTGCGGCTCGGCGAGCCAAAGTTGTGACAGGGCGGGCAATAAATATTATGATGCTACATTGTGTGTGTTTTTCCTCTTTAGAAATCAAATAAACAACAACAAAAAGAACTTGAATTGACTCCTCTCCGTCCTCTCGTCTTCAGGGCGAAGCAAAGAAGGAGGCCGAAGGAGGAGGCGCTGAAGTTATGGCGGTGGTTCATTCCTGCCTCTACACTGAGGTCCTGTCAGTGTTTTTTTTTTTTTTTCTTTTCTTTATGTTTCCACACCCACCAAAGAAGGTCCAAAAATGGTTTTGAAAAAAAATACAGTAAGCGGGGCAAAAATAAAAAAATAATAAATCAGGAGGTAGCCCGAGGCTTAGTGGAATGACAAAAAAAATGAAGGCATTCAAAAAGGAAAGATCCAAAGTAAAATACTCAAGAAGCAGCAAGGTACAACGTTGTTCCCCAAACTTCCAACAACATCGGATTAAAGGGGAGAAATCAAGAAAGAAATTAAATTAGAAAAAGCCAAAAAAAAATGTTGAAACGTGGAAGAGGATTTGACACACTTCAGTAGTACTTCATATTCCTCGACAGGAGGGGTGATGTTTGTGGGCTTTGGGAGGAGGGGTAGAAAGAGTTCATCAAGAATGCAGAATGGCAGAGAGGAAACACAGAGGGGCCAACAGAGAGAGAGGGGCGTGTCTCTGCTGTCCATCACAAGAGTTCGTACTGCCGCAGGTGCATTCTCTGGATGATGTCCCGGCAGTCGTTGAAGACCCGCCGGATGTTCTCCGTGTCCACGGCGCAGGTGAAGTGCGGGTAGCAGTAGTGTCTGCCGTCGCCGCTCGCAGTGCTGATCCGCTGAGGATGGAGGCAAGAAGAAAAAGTCTTTATTCTGAAAGTATTCTGAAAAAGGATTTTCAGAATAAAAAACCCTCAGATTTATAAAGTAGTTTTTACTGTTATATTTAGTAATATAATTAACAGACAACAGAGTATGACTAAAATATGAACCCTTTGATAATAAATCCTAAAAATCTATCATTCAACATTATAAAGACCAAGAGAGAAATGCCTACAGCAGCAGCTACTGAGGTTCAAAACATATTTTGCCAGAAAAATATGTTTGCATACTTGTATATGTTACCCATTTAGGGCCGTTTTTGGTATATTTGCTGACCTTCTAAGGACCAACAGGCCTTATGGGGACCAACACCTGGTCCTAATGCGGAAGATTGACATTTTTTAGGGTTAGGGTGTGAATTAACTATAGGTTAATGCTAGGATTAGGAATATACTGATAATGGTTAGGGTTAGGCTTAAATGCAGTAACTAAAATGAATGTAAGTCAATGTAAAGTCTCAAAAAGGATGAAAATACAAACTTGGGTGTGTGTGTGTGTGTCCATGTCTTTGTTACCTGGTGGGGACAACTTCCCAAGGGTCATGCTACATTTTGGGGACTTATAGGTACTTGTGGGGACTAACGACTGATCCCCATGAGGAGAAGTTCTGTTCTTAGGGTGGGTATAAGGTTTAGAACTAAGGGTTGAATTGAGTTTAGGATTAGGTATGTGTTAGTAAGGGTTAGGGATAGGGCAAGGGTCCCGGTTAGGCCATAGAAATTAGTGGAAAATGAATGGAAGTCAATGGAAGGTCCCCACAAGGATAGTGTGACGTGTGTGTGTCGGAGGGGTTATAAAGTGAAGGGGTGGTTGATAATGAAAAGTCAGAATATATTTATGTGTAAGAACGGTGCAGTCAAAGCTTAGACATGAATACTCTAAGAAAACCTGTGGTTTTAATTAGAGGTATCCTCAAATCTAAGAATGACCTTATAGACTAAAACAATTGGGCAAAAAGTTCACTCTGGTTGAAAGATATCCCAAAATATAAGGAATTTAAGGAAGAACTATAGGACTGTAACAAAACATGGGAAATCTTCAGAGAGGAAAGTGAAAATTTTGCAAAGTCCTTTAAATCAATGAAAATCCAAACTTTTCTTTCATTCTAACAATCGGATTCTCCAAAGATTGAATTTACAGGTGCTGGTCATAAAATTAGAATATCATGAAAAAGTAGATTGATTTCAGTAATTCCATTTAAAAAGTGAAACTTGTATATTATATTCATACATTACATACAAACTCATATATTTCAGATGTTTATTTTGTTTAATTTTGATGATTACAAATGACAACAAATGAAAATCTCAAATTCATCATATCAGAAAATTAGAATATTACTGAAGACCAATAAAAACAAAGGATTTATAGAAATGTTGGCCAACTGAAAAGTATGAACATGAAAAGTATGAGCATGTACAGCACTCAGTATTTAGTTGGGCCTCCTTTGGCCTGTATTACTGCAGCAATGCGGCGTGGCATGGAGTCGATCAGTCTGTGGCACTGCTCAGGTGTTATGATAGCCCAGGTTGCTCTAATAGTGGCTTTTAGCTCTTCTGAATTGTTGGGTCTGGTGTATTGCATCTTCTTCTTCACAATACCCCATAGATTTTCTATGGGGTTAAGGTCAGGAGAGTTTGCTGGCCAATTAAGAACAGGGATACCATGGTCCTTCAACCAGGTACTGGTAGCTTTGGCACTGTGTGCAGGTGCCAAGTCCTGTTGGAAAATGAAATCTGCATCTCCAAAAAGTTGGTCAGCTGCAGGAAGCATGAAGTGCTCTAAAACTTCCTGGTATGTGGCTGCGTTGACCCTGGACCTCAGAAAACACAATGGACCAACACCAGCAGATGACATGGCACCCCAAACCATCACTGACTGTGGAAACTTTACACTGGACTTCAAGCAACGTGGATGAAGTGCCTCTCTTCTTTTCCTCCAGACTCTGGGACCTTGATTTCCAAAGGAAATGCAAAATTTACTTTCATCAGAGAACATGACTTTGGACCACTCACCAGCAGTCCAGTCCTGTTTCTCTTTAGCCCAGGCAAGACGCTTCTGACGCTGTCTGTGGTTCAAGAGTGGCTTGACACAAGGAATGCGACAGCAGAAACCCATGTCTTTCATACGTCTGTGTGTGGTGGTTCTTGAAGCACTCACTCCAGCTGCAGTCCACTCTTTGTGAATCTCCCCCACATTTTTGAATGGGTTTTGTTTCACAATCCTCTCCAGGGTGCGGTTATCTCTCTTGCTTGTACACTTTTTTCGACCACATCTTTTCCTTCCCTTCGCCTCTCTATTAATGTGCTTGGACACTGAGCTCTGTGAACAGCCAGCCTCTTTAGCGATGACCTTTTGTGTCTTGCCCTCCTTGTGCAAGGTGTCGATGGTCGTCTTTTGGACAACTGTCAAGTCAGCAGTCTTCCCCATGATTGTGTAGCCTATAGAACTAGACTGAAAGACCATTTAAAGGCTTTTGCAGGTGGTTTGAGTTAATTAGCTGATTAGAGTGTGGCACCAGGGGCCATCAATTTTGAACCTTTTCACAATATTCTAATTTTCTGATATGATGAATTTGAGATTTTCATTTGTTGTCATTTGTAATCATCAAAATTAAACAAAATAAACATCTGAAATATATGAGTTTGTATGTAATGTATGAATATAATATACAAGTTTCACTTTTTAAATGGAATTACTGAAATCAATCTACTTTTTCATGATATTCTAATTTTATGACCAGCACCTGTAATTGTGACCAAAACAAATCTTGATATTCTTTTTTTAGATCTGCGTGTGTCTAAATTTAGCTATAGTCACCAGGAACATGGTTAATATGAGTCAGGCACTGACCAAACAAGCATTTTTAAAGCAGGGTTAGTCATCATTAAGCTGCAGTCGTCTTATTCTAATATGAAAGAAAATCACTGAGGCATTGAACAAACCACAAAGGGACAAAATGGAAACCCTGCTTTGCAAAAATCAAAAATAGAAACAGTCTTTCATAAATAAATGCCCAATCTTCCCAGTAAGGTTCTTAGAAAAAATAAAACTAAACAAACAATACAGATAATGATGCTATCTGGGTCTCAGTGATTAGCTGGAACCATGGAAACTCTGTCAACATCTACATTACAGATTTATTTACAGAGAGAGATCAGAGAAAAGCAATTTCTCTGGGAATAAGGCACCCTGGGGGTCGTTAGGGGGTTAAATTTGGCATGTTCACATGCAGGTGTCGCACTTACAAGGAACTCGTCGCGGATGAAGAATTTGGCTCGCGTCACTCTCGGGTCTTCGCCTGGTTCAGGAGTTGCTGAAAGAACAACAGAGGTTCCTTTTAAAAACAAGCGAGGCTAAACGTTTATTGGCATCATGAGTGAGCGTGGCGGGCCGCAGACCTTCATTTGGTATGGTGTAGCGGGCGTATTCGGGAAAATATTCCTCAATTTTGGATTTTCCAGCTAATACTTTCTCAGCCAGCATGTCCTGCTTGTTCAGGAATAAAATGACCGATATAGTACGTAACCACCTGAAAAACAAACAACAGCAGCTTTTATTTTTCTCACTGAATTTCCACAGAAAAAGGAGAATAAAAATACCAGCAATCAATTCATCAATCAGATTCTTCTTTTAATTAGGTTAGAGAAAAAAAAAAAAAAAAGCTTTACTAAACATTCTATAAAAGAAAAATGCATCTATCCTGTTTTTGCAAAAACTTTGATGTTTTTCTTAATTCTAAAACCTCAAAACAGAAATAAAATGGATGTTCTTCAGAAATTAAATCACGTCTCCTACAGTATATAATTATAAAATAATGAGAAGTTGTCTTTTTTTCCCAAAGATTCATAGTTTTCAGCTATTCAAGGTTGCATGAATTATTCAGATGAGTTTAAAATGACAAATAAAGGAACTCATGACAATACTTTCTCAAAGCCAACTATATTTCATATTGCTTTATCTCACAGCTGTTTTCATTTAGTCAATATACATTTGTTAGGCAGCCACAGCGCTCACTTTGATAGTATCTTTTAAAGTTAGAGATATTTTTCTACAGATTTGGCGATGTCATTACAAAAGTAGAGGAAGAACTTCCATCACTGCTGTGGGTAGATCTATAAAATGTGGCTGTTTAGAAGTGAAACATGTCTGTAATGTTATTATAAACCAAAAAAACCACAACTGTGTGTAACGGATTACAGTAACGGGGATATCAGGCAGAGGAGACACAGATTTCCGTCTCACCTGTTGTTCCAAATACTGCGGAAGAGGTCCAGTGCTTCCCGTAGTCTGTTGGTGTTATTGTCTTCCCTTATTACCATGTTGTAGCTGCTGCTGGCCACCACAAAGATGATAGCAGTGACGTCTGGAAGGACAGAGATTCACAGTCAGCAAAAATGTTGCAGTAAAGTAGAATTAATATTTTAACAGATGGTGGGACTGTCTCACCGTTAAAGCACTGAATCCATTTTCTCCTTTCATCTCTCTGACCGCCAACATCGAACATGCTGTGGACCAAATCAAAACATGGGTCAGGCTCTGGGATAAAACACCTTTGAAACATTCAATAACTGACTTTAAAAAAGAAACAACAACAAACAATATATGAGGATTAGTACAACTCTTTAAAATTAAAATGATATACAAACCCTGAGGCTAAAGTTGAACTAAGTGCAAATATTTTAGAGGAAGGAGGGAAGGATGAATAAATGGAGGTATGAATGACAGACGGACAAACCCACAGATAAATGCATTGGAGGGCGGATGACAAGATGGATGGACAAAAATGAATATTAAAAAAAAGGAGTGATGGACAAAAAATGGAAGAATAGATAAAATGTATTTTAATGATGGAATAAAAAGTATGATGGCTGTATGGAAAGTTGAAAAGGATGGATAAAAGGATGGATGGGTAACTGATGGAAGATTTATACAATGGGACATTTGTTCTTATACTGTCATTTCCTAGCCTTGCTTTACAAAGAACAGCCTGAATGAGTTCAACAAATATATACATTTACTACCTAAACCACATTTTTGATTCTTTGTGGACTAATTTTGGCATAAAAAAACAAATAAAAACATTGCAACATGGAAAGGCGTTGCTTTAATGAGTTAAGGTCTCTGCTTTCTACAATGGTGAGTTGTATATTTTGTTTTTGTAACAATTATCTTGCCATGTAAAGTAGACATTATCTGACAGGATCCAGTGTTTAGGCTATCAGCTGGTCTTACAACCATCATGCTGCTCAAAAAGAAATAATAATCATACAGGATTACATTACAGTCGCTCAGCTTCCGGCAGGTCGGGGTCCATTTTTGTATTCCCTTTTATCCCTTTCAACATACAAAATGATGTTGGAAGGAACAAACTTATGACATTTCAGGCCTTAAATCACAAGGATAAGGTAAATATAGTGTTGACGCCCAGGAGGGCATTCCGATCTGTGATTATCCTTCTATGGTAGTGCCAAAACGGGACCGGGTCAAACACTTCTAAAAGAAGCAGATTACTGGAAAACGCCTCGAGAGCCTCCGTTTTTAAAACTGGGTGACGAAGATCTGGAAAGCTGCTGCATAACAGAGAACGTAAGCGCGGATGTGGAAATAAGAAGAACAATGCATCCTTTTAGCAGGACAGAAATATTTGGCTTATAAAAGTGGCAGAAATAAGCTGGAACCACAAAATTATGATAACTTCAAGATGCTTTTGGTTGTTCATTATGTTTGCCTCTTTCAAATATATATTAGTCTCTTCTTCTAACCCCCCCCCGCCCAGCACGACTTACTGAAAGTTGACTTTGTCTACTTGAAACCTCGTCTCAAAAATCCCTGAAGTTAACACTCTGCAGCGTAGAAGATCCTGCAATCAGAGACAAAAATGAAGGATCAGTTGTGCAGAAAAAAAAAGAGCCTGTTATTTGAGCAGGTCAGCAGGTTAACTGACCTGGTCTGTTGGCGTGTAGTCACTTTGTCTTACAGAGTCAATTCTGTCCAGGAAACTGAAAAAAAGCAGAAAAAACATAAATTTTGTATTCATTCTGCAAAACAGAACTTGATGAATAGAGAAAAACAAGTCACACATGAGTTCCAAACACAAATTTTTCATAAACAAATAAAAGAGAGAAAAAAAAGCAGATATATTTTAGCTCATTTCCAGGATTGCTATTCTTATTCCAAAGGGAGCAGCCTCTCTGACTCCCTGCAGAGGCCTGGGGAGGCCGCTGTTGTTGCAGCTGCAAGCCACTAGAGGGCAGACATGCTCAGTCTGGGCTATTTTGGTCTGTCTCTAGCCAGAGTGATTGCATAAGGCGGTTATTGTGGAGGTTAGACAGCTTGCTGCTGCCTTCTCTTTAACAACAGAGAGAGCATGTGCAGCAGCAGAGGAGGAAGCAGCAGCAGCTGGGCATCTGAGCAGCACAGCGGGCGAGCTCGGGACAACCACGGCCCGGAACACACAGCCGCACAGGCCTCTGGATGACCTGGATCACCCAGAGAAAAGACTTCCAACATGGGGCTCCAAGATACCCTTACACAGAGACAGCCTCTTGCAAAATGATTCATACCCATTATACTTTTTATACTTTGACTTACTACAGCCTAAACTATTTCCTGTATTGTACAGGGCTTAATGTGATAGACCGACACAAAGTAGATCACAATCAAAGTGAAATGAAAAGAATTCACAAATTATAAAAGTAATTTAGGCCTGCAATTAACTATTGCTTTGCAAAACAATTAATCTGTCAAGAATGTATTTTTATTAATTGATTTATAATCAGATAGCCTAAGGTTTTTTACGAAATTAAACCCGGTGAAACTAAAACTTTTCAACTAGAGGAGGTCTGGATAGAGCATATTGACAGACGAAAAGGTTTTTTTTTTTTTATCTTAAATGCAAAATGTTTACATATTTTTCTTTTTTTTATATAATTACTTCTCTAAGTGGGTCGCACTGTTAGCCAAAGGCTTGTTTTACAGTCTTTACACTTGTTAACAATTAAATAATTACTGAATTAGTTGGCAATCATTGAAATAATCGATTAATCCCGATAAATCTTATTAATTGTTTCAGTCCTAATTTAAATTTTATCCGAAAAATTGTTTCAGCTCTTAAGAAATTAGAAATAAAAATTATTTTAGTGTGGTATACATTTTTTACCTAGTTAAATGATCTGTAGAACAGTCTTCTGCAAAATGCATGTGTTTTCAGTCATGAAGATTTGGCCAGGGAGTCTACACACTAACATCCTACTACAGATTCTGTTATCAGATTTAGGCCTGAGGTTTGACTGGGGCATTTCTCTGACCTAACAGGTTTACCTGCAGCTTCCCTGTCCCAACAGAAGTACAGCATCCCCACAGCATGACGCGGCCACCAGCATTTTTCACAGTAGAAAAGGTGCATTTACCAAGATGTCCACTGGTAATTAGTCTAAGAAAAGATCAATTCTGGTCTCATCTGCACAAAGCACTGTATCCTGGTTTTTGCAGTGTCCTGACTGGCTTGTAGTAAACTATAAAATGCAAATTCTTATAACTCAACAAAAGACTGGAGTCATATTCATCTGGGTTGATCTCATATTGATCTCCTTGCCCGTTTAGGTTTACGTGGAGGGTCTTGTCTTGGCACAATAGGTTTACTTATCTCAGAAAAGGTGAACAGAACTAGGCTCTTTAAGATGTTTAAAACTTGCTATACTGTTTTCTAGCCTAACCGTGCTCTAAACTTCTCTACAAGTTTCTCCCTGACCTGACTGCTGGGTTCCTTGGTCTACAAGTTAACTAATGTTTTCTAATAAACATCTGAGACCCTTACAGAACCGCTGGATTGATACTCAGATTAAATTACACATAAGTGTTTTCGGTTTAGCAATTAACAGGCAACACATTTTATTTATTTTAGGGTATGAGACATAAGGGGGCTGAATACCAGACCTATTGCATTTTTTAGATTTTTTTTTTTTTTTTTGTAAAAGCAGAAAAAATCCAAAGTTCTCCTAAATTTGAAATTGTACCTTCCGATATAAACAGGGTATGAAGGCACTGTTTAAATCTAACAACCTTTACATATATTTAAATTAGAGTCTCTATGCCCTTTAGAAAGAAGAGGTCAAGAAAAGATAAAAGAACCAAATGTACCTAAAAACACATAAAAATCACTGAACAGAGTTTACCTGTTATTCTTAATCTATTGAAGGTAATCAGTTTTAGGCTTAAAGTGCAGAATCGCCATATATTAAGAAAATATTCCCATTATTTTATCAACAATATATAACGAACTTCCTTCCTTTTATGGACGGATCGACTTAATAAAAAGGTCAGTTTAGATTTTGGAATCTTAGGATGATGTTAAATGACATTAGAGATAAACAGCTATGTCCTTAAGTCAAAATAAAATAATAGTGAACAGTGCAAAAGGCAAAAACCTCAGAGTAACAGATGAAAAGACAATTTTTCCATCAACTTAAAGGAGATACGGGTAGGTCAGAGACATGATTTCGGAAATGAAACTGCATTCAGCTGATTCTGGTGTCTTCTCCAGTAAGGCTGACCCAGATGTGGCCCAAACGGGGTCATCTCCTCACCATCTTTGATTCTCTAACCAACCCATCTGCAGTTTCAGTATGTCACCAGTCAGACAGGCGCTCAGATGGCGCGGCTGCAGCACACAGGAAACCTGATGCGCCGTTCTCGCTCCGCTGTAGGTTTCCGTCAGGACGTCTGTCTCTTCGTTTTCACTTTGGGCGCCTAAAAGCAGCACACCAACACGCCCAACAAGGATTAAATAACCGAGAATGAATGGTGCATTATGAGCCATTAGATAACAGCCGCGCTGCTCATGTGCTCTGACAATAACGTTTTCATCACACGGACTATTTCTGCTGCAGACGAAAGAAGGAGCAGGACTATTTCTAACAGGCCACCAAAATGTTCTCCCCTAAATTGTACCACTAAAAGTTGTAAAACTTGTGCAAAAAGCTCAGAAAAAAAGACTTTTGCACCTAAAACAAATAAGCTAATTTAAATAGTTGTCTACATCTAAAGATTTACATCATACAACAGGACATATAATAAATTTTGACTGCTTTTAAACTTCACTATTATGTTTTTTTTTTATAATTTATTTATTCCGAACATTTGGGAAAACTGAAATGAATTTTCCTATAATCATAACAAGTTCAATCTATACACATATATGGTCAAATGTATAGATACTATATTAAAACTGTGAATATTACATTAGTCTTAATGGCCGCACTGGTGAAGCTCATTTAAACTGGCTGGCTTTGCTTTAAAAGCAACTTCCACAAACTTTTAATGGAATCTCAGATTGATGGTAAGTGTGGCGTTTAATCCAATAAACCAGTTTCATTACGTGTTTGGGATCACTGTCCATCTGAGACACCACTTTTTGTCCAAGTCCATCAAGATGAGAAAAGAATTAATAGAGCACAGAGCCACGTTTCCATCACAATATCATCCAGTTATATAGGAAATATAAAAGGGCATCTCATGAGATCATAGAACAATGTAAAAGAAGAATCAACAAAAAAATAAATAATCCAATAACAATAAAGATGCCATGTAAAGAAAATATCTTTAATATAAGAAAGGAAAATGAAATCTTTACTGGCATTACAGCACAGAACCCGTCTTATAACTGGTGGAAAGCCCTTTGCATATTCCCACTGGAATTTCAACAAAGTCTCTGGTAATGAGCTCAAAGTCTTTGAGGCTCCAAAAAGTCAATATTACTTCCATTTGCAAAAAATAAAAAACAAACATTAAAAAACACAAACAAACCTGTCAGTAAAGTAAAAAGATATACCATAGAAGGTATGAATAATTTTTGACTATTTTGTAAAAGCACAATCTTTGGCAAAGTTGGGGTTCACAGATGCGCTGAATACAATCAAATACAGTTTATGGTTTTGTTGCAAAGAATGTGCAGAGAAGATGCGAAAAGCTGTTTATTTTATTACATCATCTATTCTTTTTCTTCTAAAAAAAGTATTAAAATTATTATATTTAGATATCTTTGTATATCTTTATTTATCTTTACTACAAAATAAATATATACCATCTCACTTCCTCACACCAAGTGTGCAAACCACAGCTTTGTTAGCAATGAATGGGGACAGATAAGTATTCCTGTTGACAGCGGAGAACAATAGTGTTGGGGACTGTATTATACTAAAGAAATATTAAGCAATTTGTTTGATTTGTTATTTTGTTGGATAGGTTTTTGATAAACTGTCAGGAGAAATTAAGAAACCCACCTTAAATGTAAGTAATGCTGTGACTTTTGCCTGTGATTTCACCGATAAAACATTAGGCATCTAGATTTTCATTATGCAAGCCAAAACAGACATTGGAAAACTGACTAGATGAGCAGCAGATCACTCATCTGTCAGATGACAAAAAAAGCTCTGTTTGGACTTTAAAACTGGCTAAATGTGATATTTTTAAACACTAGAAAAAAAAATAAAAGCCTGATCAGAAGCTTAATCAGAAAGTTTCCAATTATGTTGAAACTTAGAGAAAATATACATGTTTCTTTACCTTCAAGTCTTAAATCTTAAACAGGGTTTATAAGATGATACTAAATGCATCTGATCATAAACAAGTTCTCACAGATACTGTGGGTCACACATGCTAATTTCTCCTGACCTGACCCCTCTTCCCCCAAAACGACAACAGAAAGACCAACAGATCCACTCAAAAAAGCCCATCAAATCCAGCACAAAAAAATGTATTTAGTATTTTTAGTCTTCCTTGCAGAAACATAGCTAGGTTATAATTACAGAGTGCTTTGTGACTGCCATGTGACAGCGGTACTAGATATCCAAATATAATCTCCATCAAGTGGAGAAGAAAAAAAAAATCCAGAACAGGAGACCAGAACCATGAAAAAAAGAAAAGAAAAAAAAGAGGAAAAGTTAGTGTTGAACCATGGGTGGTGCAGATAATTTGCTCTAAATAGGTTTGGGTGCAGCTT